CTGAGCCTCTTAGTGCTCATTATTTACCCCACTCCTACCCCTAATTAATACGTAACAGCCAAAACCACATAATAATCCAAATAGGATATGACAAAGTAAACCCAAGCTCAACTGAGTTCAACTTGGAACAAAAGAAGGTGAACTTTTATTGCCCTATAAACCTATTTGGCTTTTCCTCATGAACTCTTGGTACACAAGGTAGACCTAAAAGGTGGTATTTTGTTCAGGGCTTTTTTGTTTGTGTTTTCAGTTAGGGGTTTTTTTGGGTGCTGGTGGAGGGGGTTGCTTGTTTTAAACAAAAAGCAGAAACTATTTTTTTCTATTTTGAGCAGTACTGCCAGCCTGAGAATCAGCTAAGTCAAAGACACTTAATTTAAAGACTTGCTAAAGGAAGGAAGCTTTTGCAAACAGATGCTGAGAACAGGGATGCTGTTAAACTGAACATCTTTACATAAGCATCTTGCTTCCCTCTACATAAATCAGACTTAAGAGGAGATACTTAAATCATCCCTGAGGACTTCATTGTTAGTTTCAACTCATTAAGAGAGGTATAATTTCCCAAGTACATGCTGAAAGGCATACCAGGTAAAGAATACACTCAAATTTGATGAATTATCTTGTATATGAATGTTGCACTTCAGTGCATCCCAGTGATAATGATCTCTTGAGCTGCCTCAACAAAGGTCATCCCTGGCCAAAATCCCTGCAGGCTCCAGGGTCAGCACCTTCACAGGTACAGCAACTGCAACACCACAGCCCAGAGGTCTCCGGCCCCAAGTGACAGAATGGTCCAGAAGAGTCACAGATGTTTACACTGGACACATTCACAGCACAATGCTGAGCAAGCTGCAGAAGCCACAGGATCTTGAGAGACTGGGAGCTGAGGAGCAGGCAGAGCTCCAGAGGCAGATGAAAGGGATAAGGCACTGGCACCTTCACAGGAGAGGAGACTGCTAGGATTAAAAAGGGGGCAAGAAAAGGATACTGCAGCATCTGCCTGCTATCCTAGCAGGAGTCCTAAGCTATTAACATTGGAATTCAGCAGAGCATTGCCTGGGAGCAGTGTATTCAGTTGCTTCTGAAGTCCCTGAAGCACCTGCAGCTGACTTCCCTGATTCAGGAGAAGGATATCCATGTTTTCCCTCATTTTCTTCACTGTACAAAGAGAAGGGAATGTTAATGCCTGCTATGTAAAAACTCGAGGCAGTTCAGAAGTATTTTTCTACTTACACTCTTCAGAAACAAGAGTCCAGTGATCCATCTCACTTTCCTCTGCACCACACCTTTGCTCTTCTTTCTGATGCAGAGATGTAAATTCAGGTTGATTTGCATCTAAAAGGAAGACACTGCAAGTCACAAGTTGCAAGGTCTGCATTCCAAACATAGCAGCTCAGCAACAACCCTTCCTCTCATCCACATCTTAAAATGCAAACTTCATTCAAGTCACACAGTGGTCCAAAGCAAAAGATTAGGTAGATACAGGTTTTGGGGTTTTTTTTTGTTTGTTTGTTTTTTGGTTTTGGCTTTTTTTTTTTTTTTTTTTTTTGTGGGGGGGGGGGTTTTGTTTGTTTGGTGGTTTTTTTGAGGAGGGGACACAGGGAAAAGAGGAAGCAAAGCTGCAGCAAGGGATCTGCTAAGGAAAGAGGAAATTGAGATTTAGTAAAAATACGTATTTGCACACTTTCTTTAGAAGTAGGTACAGCGTTGGACTAATCTGATACTACTCAGGGTCCAACTGAAAGGGCAAAAATGAGACTTCTCTTTAGGAATTATGAACTCTTTCATCTGAAGAAAAAAACAGGTTTAGGGCAGCCCCCAGAAGGCTTGAAGCTCCTGCCCCACCTTGCTGTCGCAGGCCAGGGGCAGAAAGAGGGAGCGGCAGAGGCAGCGGGGACGCGGCACTTTTCACCGCGCTGCACTGAAGATGGAGCTGGAAGAAGAGAGCTGGCAGTGCAATAAAGCTTGTGGGTCAAGAGCTGAAATCACTGGGGCTGGGAAAGGGGATTTGTAGGGCGGGTGCTGTAATCACTGCAGGGCTGGGAAAGGGACTGCACACACCATAGGAACCGAAGGGCTGGCACAGGGACTCTGGGGTTCTTGCGACGACATCCCTTTATGCCTCTGACATGGATGCTGGGGCTGCCTATTACGACTGAAACTAGAAGAGGATGTGTGGTATACATGTGTTTTAATCGTGTAACCAGATGGATTAAGAAAATCCAACACCCATAGCAGATTTCTGTTGGATCTGTATCTGTGTGTTGGAGACGGAGAGACGCTGTTCGGAGGGTGGCAACAGCGGCAGGTGAGAGCTGTGAGGATGAGGAGGGCTCAGAGCAGCCCCAGGTGTGAGCTGTGAGGATGAGGAGGGCTCAGAGCAGCCCCAGGTGTGAGCTGTGAGGATGAGGAGGGCTCAGAGCAGCCCCAGGTGTGAGCTGTGAGGATGAGGAGGGGGCGGCTCCTGCCGGGGGGAGGTTGTTTTAAGGCGAGGGTTTGCCGCCGCTGGGTGTGCACGGAGCTGCTGGAGAAGAGGAGTTTATGGGGGGCTCCCGGGGCTGTCTCATGGAAGGACGGTGAGCGCTTCGGACAGGGTCCGGGGGATCATCTGGATACGCGCTTGGGGACGTGGAGCATTGCTCGAAAGAGGAGCCGAGGGACAAACCTTTGGGCCGAGAAGCAGCGGCCAAACAGGTGAGCCGGTGCGCCTTTGTAGCGGGGACTTTTCTCCTTTCCCTTTTAAATTTCTTCTTGACAATCCCTCCCCAGTGCCCCCAGGGAAAAATAAAAAAAAAAAAAAAAAAAAAATATTTTGAGGACAAAAGAAACTCAAATTGAGGGTGCCGGCTTCTCTTCCATTATTGACCGTGTCTGAACTAGTGGGGGGGTCCCCATTCACTTGTGATTTTGAGGGTACTGATTGGAGGAAAACCTGCCTTTTCCAGGGTGTTAGGGATATCAGAGGGTAGACAGGGAATCCCTGTGTTCTCTTTTAAATGGAAGGGGACAAATACTGTTGTCATAGGATGGGTTTGAATTAGCCCCCCTCCCTTTTCATCATCCTGAGGTCGAAATGGAGGGGCAGTTCTGTTGTCTCGCCTTTTAAAGGGTTTGGATTGAGGTAAAAAGCCCCCTTTGCCATCATTTGAGGAAAGCAGCTTCTCTGCTCTTCTAGGGGATGCAATGGAAGGGGAGCCCACATTTCTTTGCCGTAGTTGAAGTGAGGTGAACGCCCGAGTGTGGCGTCAGTTTCGGGGCTTCAAAGGAAGGGAGGCCGGGCTGTGGCAGCGCTGGCAGGGTGGGCATGGGGCTGTGCCGCTGCATTTGGGGCGCTTCTTCTGCCCCTCGCCCGGCAGCGAAGGGTCCGGCGCGGGAGCCCCGCTGGCAGTGGCTGGGGATGGCCGAGGCGGGAGGGGAGTTTGGCGCGGCTGGGCTGCCGCGGGACTGCCGGAGCCGCGCCGGTGCGAGCCGTGCGGAGCCGAGGGGAGCTTTGGCCAGGCCGGCGGGTGGGGCAGGCGGCGCGGGCGCTGCGCTGGTGCCGGCCGCTCCGGGCGCGGGGCTTCTCGTTTTCCAGCCTTCCTTGCTGCGGTGGGTTTGAGGAACTTATTGGATCGCTTTCTTTTGTTCGTAGTTGGTGTAGGAGAAGGGCCGTGGGGCTCCTTTTGGTTGTTACGGTTCTTGCTTCAGGTGCTGGTGACAAGGGGTTTTTTTAGATTGAGTTTGTTGTTGGATTTTTTTTTATGAAATTGGTGGGAATTTGATGTTTCTTTTGTTATTTTATTTTTAGGAATTGGATCTTTTCAGTAGTCTTTTTGATTTTGCTTTTTTTTTTTTTGGTGATGTATTAGTCTTTTAGAAGAATTTGGATTATATTTAAAAATATTTTTGTTATACTTTTCATCTAATGTTGTTGTATTATTACACATGTTTTGGAGTTTTATTTTTTTAAGTTTCATTTGGATGAATTTATGCTAGATAGTAGGACTATGTTTTTATTTTTGGAGTAGTTGGTTGTAGGTGTATTGTGTGTTTTTCAAGTGAAGGCAAATCGAGGTTTGTATTCGGTTGTTAGAGGAAAGGATAAAAATATATTGGTCATGTTAACAGTGTTGAGTTATTTTGTGGTTTTTGATTTAAGTTTGTATTGGAGTTTTAATAAGTTTGGTACAGTAGTGTTTAATGGTGGAGTTATTTAAGGTAAGATAATTTATAGTTAATTCCTATTTGTTTTCGATTTGTGTGTAGGTTAGAGGAGGTTGTTGAAGGGTGAGTGGGTTTTGTAGATGAATTTTAGTGTTTCAGTTTATAGAGCATTTTTTGGATGGGAGTTACAGTATTTTGAGTTGTTTGGTATCGCTGGTGATGTATTGTTGAGGTGGTAAGGAGTATTTGTAGGGGTTTTCCTAAAGAAGTTGTATTGTAGATCTAGGTAGTTGTGGTGGGCTGTTTAATTGTTTTATGGTTTTTGGCTTTTTGGTAGTTATTTAAAATATGTTTGAGGGTTTTGGGTTTATTGAAATACTTGATTTGGAGGAAGTTCCTGTTTAGAATGTATGATTTTTTTTGGCTTAAAATAAAAATTTTATATTTTTAGTGAGGTTTATTTTTTTCTTACTGCTATATTTTGTGATATTTGTGTTGGGTTAGTAATAGGAATAGCTTTACTTTTATATGTTGAAATGAGGGTAGTGTGTACTGGTGTTCATAAAGGTTTAATATTTTTGTGATGAATTTATAAAGTTTACAAGACATTTTTTGTTTTTATTTCTATACAGGCAGGGTTTTCTTAGTTTTAAGGATTTGTTTGGCATAGATTAAGAGGCCTTATTGAGGGGATAGGACAGGGTGTCTCTGTTAATCTATTTGGCAATTTTGATATTGGGTTAATAATGTTAATATTTTGCTAGAATTTTTGGGTTTGGTTAATTATTTATTTATAAACGTGTGCCTACAGCTGTAGCGTCGCTGCTGCAGCTCTAAGTATCCATTCTTGTGTGCGTTAGGTGGTCCAGTCGTGTTACACCGAGACCCCCTCTGCAACCGGCCTGCAGACCCGCTCCTTCGACCTCGTGGGAATTCAGGAAGTGGCACACGGCTCTGCGAGGAAGCCTGGATCTTTGTCCTTTGAAGATGCCACCCAGGAAACCTTCAGGAGCGGCCGGGGAGTTGCTGTAAGTCGGGGAACCACTAGTGAGGGGGAGCCAGGGTCCACTCGAGTTTTGGGAACGCCACCTCACCTCGTCTCCTCTTCAGCCAGGCAGAACCTGCCTGGAGGGTGTGGGCAAAGCGTGCGGCCCGAGGAGCGCGTCATTCTTAGGAGAATGGTGAGTAGCAGAATTACTGGGTTTTGTCCATCGTGCAGATAAGATCATGCAGTGATGTTTGGTGTTCTTGATTGTAGCTGGGCAAGGGACCACAGCCCGGTGACCATAGCACATTCCCAGCAGACGAGGCAGCCTCCATTCACAAGTGACATGGATTCTCATCCCCAGATGTCTGAGAGATAAGTCAAGGGCTAAGGCCCACAGAGGGGATGAAAGCAAGGTGCTGGGAGGGCATTTTGAATGAGCTCTGGGGGTGGAGATGTGCAAGAAGTGTCCCTTTAGGCCACCTGAAGGGAAAATGTTTCTTTTGATCACAATGCTGAGGTGCGCAGGGCAGAGCAGTTCCGGTGTGTGTCCTGTCACTTGTCTCTGGTGCACTCTGTGTTCTTTGGGTCTCTCAGTCCTTTCTTCTTGTCGAAAGCTCTCGCTCCCTGTCCTGTCCCCTCCTTTGTCACGTCCTGTCCTGTGTCACGGGTGTCTGCACATATTTGTCCCGGAGCTGCTCTGCCCTGCTGCATAGCCTGTAATAGCACAAGTCCTGGGGACTTGAAATTTGCAATGCAGGGTGTAGTTGGGCTCTAGATTGTTTTAGGAGATTGCCATAACATTTTTGGTGCTTTTAAGTTGTCCTGCAGCTCTTTTACCCTAGTCTTAACTTCCTTTCAGATGCAGACAGTTCAAATCAGTGGCAGAGAGCCCCAGTGCTGGGTGAGGGTGTTGCCATGAGCAGGTCAGTCATTGTTTGCATTTGCAGGGGAAGCCTAAATGGTGACTTTGTTACAGCAGTCTTTATTCTTAGGAGGTCCAGGCAGATAGCAGCAGTCAAGGCCCAGTGTGCCGGGGGAGCAGTGGACAGAAGCAGTTGTTTTTACTCAGCTTTCAGTTTCTGGTGCAATTCTAAGCATCCATTCTTGTTTTTGTGCTTTAGGGAATCGACTCGGAGTACTCATACCTCCATCACCAACTGGCAAATGGATCGGTGCCGGGAGCGTGGCTTCTCGTTTTCCAGCCTTCCTTGCTGTGGTGGTTTTGAGGAACTTACTGGATCATTTTCTTTTGTTCGTAGTTGGTGTAGGAGAAGGGCCATGTTGTGCTTTTTGCTTGTTATGGTTCTTGCTTCAGGTGCTCATGACAAGGTTTTTTTTTTTGGGTTGAGTCTTGTGGTTGGATTTCTTTTTGATGGGTTCTTATGTTTTTGAAGGGTCTGTTTTTAAAGGTTTATAATGGTTTTTATGGGTCATAGCATGAAGTAGAGGGTAGTAGGTTTTTAATTCGGTTGTGGAGGCTTTTATTGGCGTGAGTATGTAGTGGTTTATTTTGGTTGGTTTGAGGTAGTGTCCTGTAGTTAATTATTGAGTTTTTTTAAATATTGATAATTGCATTCTTGTTTATTATGTTGTAGGGGTTTTATTTGTTTGTCTTGTTTGATTGCTTTGTATGTTTTATTATCTCAGAGAATTTGGGAGTTATTATTTATGGTTACTTTTCTCTTTTGGTGACATGTTTATTTCTAGGTGGTATTTGTGTTTTGATGGTTTGAGGCATTCTGAGTTCCTTGAGTTAGGAATTATTATTTTGTTGTTGTGAATATAATTTTTTTTTGTAGTTGGATGTATTTGTTGTTTTTTATTAGTTTGATTTTTGGGAACATGGGTATTTCTATGGTGGATCTTTATAGGTAGTTATTTTATTTGGGTGGTGAGTTTTTTGTTTCTTCATGGTTTCGATTTTTTTATATCTGTAATTATTTGGGGGGGTTAATTTTATAGAGTATTAGGTTCTCTTGATGTGTTAGTGTAGTGGTAGAGTATTGTTTCAGGTTTTTTTTAGAAACATTTGGGATCTGTGGTATGGTTTGGAGTATAGGAGGTTAGTTAAAGAGTTTTTCTTTCTTTTTAGTGATTTTTGTGTTTTGTTGTGTGGGTTTCTATAGTTTTGTTTTTTTTTTTAAATTAATGTTCCATTTTTGTGATATGATAAGAACTGCTAGTTGAAAGGAGTGTAGCGTGGGTTTTTTTGCTGGTAGTTGGTTGGCTGGTGGAGCCTTTCTGAATTTTTTGGACAGTATTGTTGGTTATTCGATGCTGTTTGTTTGGCATTTTATTTTTAGGAATTAGATTATAACTGCAAAGTTCTAACTGTAACTCTAATGAAACAAAACAAATGCATAAATATGAAAATGGGAATATAAAACTTCAATTTTAAATATAAATGGAAAACATATGAATAAAACATGTAACATGAATAATGTTATCCATTACTATTAGGTATTATATTGTTTGATATATAGTATTTTGTTTATATAAATACATATAAATATAGATTATAAATATAAATAAAATCCATATAAAATATCCATATTGAGATGTATAATTAATACATGTGGATATATAAATATAAAAATTACTAAATAATAGAAATCAATACAGTACATAATGCATATTTTACTGTGTATGTCCTATTTTAACACATTCTATGTCCTAAATATTATATATCGAAATACTGTACCTCAATATATTGTAATCTAATATATAACAACTTGTAAAAATCAAAAATAGAAAGATAGAGATATTTAAATGTAGTTTAAAATAAAGGGGATTTTTATTTTGTATTTGGTAGTAGGTAGGGGTTTTTTTATAAAATCTATAAATATAATAAAATTAGAAATGTATGTATAGAAATAGATCCTAAATACCTTAAGATCTATAAAAAAATTCAAAGGTAAGCAAAAATAAATATTAGCAGTATCTATTAAATATAATATGAATAATTTATAATAATAAATAATTATTATAAATAATATAAACAGTAATTTATAATAATTTATAATAATAAATTATAAATAATAATAATAGTCGATCTTGCTACCTTCATATATATATGATATATATTTATAAATACATCACTATAAAGTAGAAATGCAAATGTGTCTATAATGATGAAAAAAATATATAAATATTCAAGTACCATTTACAGACAGGGCTTTTTTTGGTTTTTATTTGGTTAGAGGCAGGGTTTTAATGGAAGAAAAATGAATATATTTTGATATCATTCTAAGTATAGAAATATATATTCAATGTATATAGAGATATATAAAAATATAAAAATATAAAATAGAAATGAAAATAAGTATTTTTTTTATATCATTCTAAGTATAGAAATATATATTCAATGTATATAGAGATATATAAAAATATAAAATAGAAATGAAAATAAGTATTCGGAAGAGAATATAAATAACACAATACATCAATCTACATTTTAAATGTAAATTTGAATATAAATGCGAAAAATAGAGATAAATTTAAACACTGTTTAAAAGAAAAGGGGTTTTAAAAAGATTTTTACTTGGATAGAGGCAGGGGTTTATTTTAAGCAATATAAACCTTTTAGAAATAGAAATTTAACTATAGAAATATGTAAGCAATGTATTAAGCAATGTATAAAAATGTAAATTGTAATAAAATATAATATGAATAAATGTAAGAAATTATAAAAATTGCAATTATACATCAATATGCATTATAAATCCGAATGTGAATATAAATATGAAAAATATAAAAATAAAATATATTGAGATGCAGTTTGAAAGAAAAGGTTTTTTCTTTTGGTTCTTATGGGGTTAGAGGCAGGGGTTTTTTGTCGGCGTTCTTTTCCACACGGGATGTTTTGGGGCATTTGGTGCCGAGGACGTTCCAGAGGGGCGGGCGGCAGTGCTGCCGCCAAGTGGACACAGAGCGGTACTGCAGCCCGCCGCCCGCGGCCGCTATCTCGGGAGTGGCGTGTCGCGGACTCGCTTGACCTTCTCGAGAGGGCGCAAAAAAAAAGGTCGCGAAAATCCAGGAGCCGCGTCTGCCGACCGCTCTGCTTGAATGCCGGCGTGGCCCGGCGGGATTTCCCGCGGCGGGATTTCCCGCGGCAGGTCTAGTGCTGTGCACACGGGCTGTGGGCTCAGCGGCTCCGCGGGCGGGCGGATTTCGAGCAGGCGCCGACCGGCATCGGCAGATTCGCCTCTCTCTGCCCGGCTCCTGCAGCGGCCGCCATCCTGGGCGCGGCCCCTGCCTCTGCCACGCTGGGTGCCCGTCCCGTCCCCTCCCGTGCGTTCCCACCGCCTCCCTGCCGTACAGCTGGAAATAAACAAAACCAACGTAGAAATATACATAGGTTAAAAAGAAAGGGCTTTTGGGGCGGGGCGGCGTTATTTGGTTCGAGGAAGGGTCTTTTAGTTTCTGTGCGGGTTTTTTTGGGACATTTATTTCGGAGGATTTTTTCCCAAGGGGATCGATCGCCGCCGCTCTTTTCCCCCTGCCTCCCCTCCGGGCGAGCGGCGGCCCCCGGCTGTGGCGGGCGGCAGTTCTGCCGCCTTGTGGACACAGAGCGGTACTGCAGCCCCACAGCCAGCGCCCGGCCGAAACCCACCGAGACGGGGCGGGAGGGGCCAGAGCGGCCCCAAACCCACCGAGACGGGGCGGGAGGGGCCAGAGCGGCCCCAAAACCACCGAGACGGGGCGGGAAGGGCCAGAGCGGCCCGTTTAAAAACTACCGGGACGGGGCGAGTGGGGCCAGAGCGGCAGCGAGCGGCGAGCGGGGCGGTGTGTGTGAGTAGAGGGGAGCGGTGAAGGCGGCTCCGCGGCGTCGGAACAGGGCTGCGCCCGCCCCTCCTGCCGCCCTCCTTGGAATGGGTTGAGGCATTATGGGTTTATTGAGGTAGGGATAACTATTTTGTTGTTTTGTAAACAAATGTCAGTTGTTCTAATTATTGAAGAGGGTTGGATTTTGTCGGAATCTGTGGGTATTGGTGATTCCGAGATTGTAGAAAATCTCTGTCTTTTTGCCCCGTTGCCAAAGAAGAAGCCATAATTTGTCTGTGCTGTTTTCAAGGTTGTTTATTCTGTTTATCTCTAACATGTTCTGCTGCCCTGCCGCAGGTCTGTCCTGCAGGGCAGCGTGTGGGGCTCTGCCCTCAGTGGGATGTTACAAACATTATATACCAGAAACTACCTGTGCTGTATTTACAATAATGTGCCAATATCTGTCACCTACGTTGAACAGTGTGTCCCCAGCCTAAACCAATAGAAAAATGCCAACACTGCAGTGAAACATGGAGGGCATGAAGAAGGAGAAAAAGGACAAAACACACCAATTTCCTCCATCTTGTCCCCTTTGAACCCCTAATCTAGAATCCTAAAATTTTACTTTTGCACCCGTGTCACACTTAATTATTACTCTTATCAAACACTCAAAGCTTGTAATTCATCATGTAAGATTGAAAACTCCTCTCCATGGACAGAGATCACAGACAGTGTCTCTGGGGGCTCTGTACAGATGGGTTTCTGACCCCTGCCAGGGTCCCAGACCTGCCAGGGCAGCCAGAGGGAAGCCCTGGATTCTCACAGGATTTATTTTGCATGGGTTACCTTTCTGATCTGTGTGAGTGCAAATAAAGTCAAGATTTTAATCCAACTCCTGGATCTCCCGGAGAAGCCTTTCCAGAGATATATTCACTGGCTTGTGTAACTCCAAATGTCACAATAGAAACCAAAAGCTACCAGTATTTATTTGGCAACCCGAGACCTCTTAGAATCAGGTTTCTACATAGAGAAGTGGTTCCTTCCCCCAGAAGAGGTTATAATCTAAGTAGTTCTTAGTTAACTCCTATTCCTGTTGCATAATTACCTTTTCGCTCCCATTTTCCTCTTTCCTTCTCTTCCAAGATGCCTTTATTTTCATGGGTTGGTAAAACTGTGGGTCCTCAAGTCGTTGACCTCTGTGTGGACATTCTGAGCATCTTGCTGTGCCAAGGGAGTCAGATAAAGCTGGATCATCAACAGAAGCGGGAAGAGCATCAGGCTGAGTCGGATCTCTTTATGGATGAGGAGTCTGATGACAGAAGTGTCTTCAAATGACAAGGTACCAAATTCCTTGGTACAGCGGCACCTGTACCAAGGAATTGGTTGATTCTCTAGGAAATAGTTTGGCTGAACAGAGAGATGCTGTTAAGGTCTTGGAGGAGAATTTAGGAACATAGAGCCTGTGGCCCAGCAGTTGCAAAACTACTGTCTGGAGATGTGACTCAGCTGCATCACCCACGGTCTCACCCCTGAGCTGGAACACAGTCAGGAGAGGTCCTGAAAGAGATTACCTTTGCAGAAAAAAATGTGTTCCCTCAGCCCTGTGTAAAGCCTTGTTGTGAAAATTATGTACTTGAGGTATGAATTTCCCCCCATCTTTCATCTCTTCTGTAAATTTGTGGAGATTAGAATGTGTTGATGAACCCTAGAATATTCCATTTTCCTCTGGAGATGAGCTTAGACATATTTAGAATGTTCGGTATAACAGCATAAATGTTGGGAGAATGGTATTTATGTGTTTATAATTGATTAACATTTTTTATCCTCTGGCCAGCTAGTAGACAATTTCATGTTCAATAATTGTAATTGACAAGCTGTGGAAAATAGGCAGATGAATCAATTTTTTGGTTTGTTTGTTTTTTTACCCTGCATTGTGATTATCTATTCATTGATACTGTTATCTCTCTTTCCCCCATTTTCGTCTGCCCCCCAAACCCAGCTCCTTCCTGTCCTGTCCCTGCTCCGTTCCATTCCCCCTCTCGGTGGTGTGAGATGAGATTTGAGCCCTTTCTGACATCCACACGTGCTCTTCGTGTTGTCAGATCCTGTGTGGAAGCCAGCACCTCTCCCTGCCTATTTTGCAGGTGGGTGTGATATTTTTCTTCTGATCAGACCATCTGTAGACCTCTGGCTTAATGTAAATATTTATTTACATTTTTGTCTCTGAAAGCAAAGCATTTATCTCCTGACTTCCCTGCTATTCAGTATCTGCTGAACTGGCTGTGCATTTTTCCTAAGCTAAGGAAAACCCTCCCTGTGATTCTGTAATTTCCAAAGGAGCAGCATTAAGTCACTTATGTTTTTCTTGTCTCCATAATTTTAGCTTGACTCGTCCTCAAAGACAGGGATGAACTCAAGAACCACATGTGGTGAATTGTTAGTTTGGCGGAGGTTTTTGCAAGTTCAGGGCTAAAATGTGATTTAAGAAAAGGCTTTTTTTGCAGTATTAGATTTTTGTAGCATTGCAGCTTTTCAAACTTTCTAAGTAAGTCACTTCATTCAGATTTATACTCTCTTGAAATATGCTTGATATGGGTTTTTTTTCATTGTTATGTTAGTTTTTGTTTTGGTTTGATTAGGCTTTCTTTTTTGTCTCGCTTAGGAAAATTTTACAGATCTCACTTTTTTCTTCTCCAGTTGAGTGTAGTGTTACCTTCTTAATTCAAAAAACATTTGCTGTATGGAAAAACCACCTTGCCTTGTGAAGGGACAGGCAGGAGTTTTAATGGCCAGTGGCACAGCCCTGTAGCACACAGATTCCCAGGAAGTGGGGAGCCCTCTGCCAGGCAGATCCACCTGGCCGGGTTCCTGCGGGTGCTGCTGCTGTACCCGGCTGATGAGGTGATAACTGATAACCAGCTTGGCTTTATTGCCAAAATAAAACTCATCCATTTTCTTAGGAATCCCAGCAAACTGGTCCCAAAGGCTTTGTCACTCAGTCACTGCTTCCATTGGTGTGCAGAGGCTGGATCCCAGCTATCACCCCAGGAGTGCCCCTGCATCCCTTTTCCCCACTTTTCTGTTCCAGTCGTGGGAAATACCTGGGTTTTGTTTTCTTCCCCTTGCAGTTCACTGCAGATCCCAGAAATCCCACAGGAGGGAAGATCTTGTGCTTCCACCACCAAGCGAGAGAAGAGATGGTCACATCCTAGGAGCCTGATTTTGGAATGTTTTATGGAAATGGCCCAGTGGCTTTTACTTCTGGGGTTCCTGGAGTCTGTTCATGGCAGGTCCAGCCCGTGCTTCAACTTAGAGCCCTCAGTCGGCAGGGAAATGAACCTTTGGGAAGTTCTTACAGCTCTACTTACTGCTTTATGAATGGTGATGATTTTCTGGAAGTAGGCTGTCTATTCTGACCCTTTTTCTTCCCTCTCCCTGCAGACTGTACCTGCTGAAAGGCTGAGGTGGGACCAGGATCTGTAAAATCCCTGACTCTCCATGTCTTCCTGAGGCTGAAGCTGTGTTTGCTGTCAGTGGTGACATGGTGGAAGATGCTAAAGACTGAAAATTTTGGGTTTTTTCCCCGGAACCCCAAGACTCTGTAGCTGTGCCCTGTCTGTCTCTTAAAAGAGTTTATTGGTTTACAAAGGTTTTTACATTCTGCAATTATTTACCTATAACTCTATTAAAAAGAATCATACTGTATCAATGTGGTGTTAATTACTTTGTGTTGGTTAATTAAAGCAAATTGTTGATAAGGGGTTTGAGCATCCCTTAGTTGGAGCTGGCAGCTCTTATTTAATTTCTCTTCATTCCTTTAATTTCTTTCAATTACTTCTTAAGCAATTACTGCAATTGGGATATACAGTAAGGACAAGAGCATTTCTGCCCTGCTGGAGTGGGAAATCTAAGCCCAATTCCTTGGAGAGATTGAGGGGATGGGGAGCTAAGCCCCAAGCTGGGTTTTGACAGTGGGAATTTGGTGAGGAAGGAAGAGAAGAGATCCCACAGAAAGTGGCTGAGGCCAGTTCTGGTGGCTTTGGGTGCTCCTACCCCCGAGAAAATCATCCTGGTTAAAGGGAACTTGAAGAAGCCGGGGGCCTGTGCCAGGGGGCTGTGCTGGGACCCCCAAACCCTGGTCAGGGATGCTGGGCAGTGTCGGCTCCAGAGGAACACTGCAGAGGGGCTGTGCTGGAAGCCCTCAGCTTCCACCCAGAGGTGCTGGGCACTGCTGGGCTTTCGGGGCACTCCTGAGAGGCTCAGCTGCAGATCCGGGGAGTTTCACCCTTATTTGCTGTCCTGCTGAGCACCTGGCAAGTCATTGCAGCCCCCCAGGCTGCCGATGCCACCGGAGCAGCTGGAATCCCAGAAATCACACAGAAACCGGGCTGGGAGAGGAAATGAGCTGTTCCGTGTTGTTTTTCGCAACGCATTTTGAATTTCTACCAGAATCCCTTCTCTCCCCTCAGATCCCGTACCCCTGAGTTTTGAGTTATCTCAGAAAAATGTCTCGGCCTAGGCTGGAAAAAAGGAAATTCCCTGGCACGGCGGGGAGCGGCGGGGTTTGGGGGTGCTGGGGCCGGCACGGGGGTCCCCAGGCCCCGGCCGGTCTCAGACAGCAGCGGGAAATCGCCGCCGCCGCCGGCTCGGCCCCGCCGCCCGCGGCGGTCCCGGTCCCGATCCCGGCCCCGGCAGCGCCCCGGTGCTCCGGCCCGAGAGAGACCCAGACCCCTCCCGCCGGAGCCGAACCAGCGGCCCCGGTCACCGCTCGGACGGGCCGGGAGCGATGGCCCCGCCTCCATCCCGGGCGGGCTCGGGGCGGGGCGGGGCCCTGGCTCAGGTGCGCGGGACCGCAGAGCGCCTGCGCGGGGCGGGGCCGAGGTTATTTAAGTGCCGGGAATCGCCCCGGCAGCCATTTGCTCACGCTAAGCGCGCTGCAGACGGGTGGGTTCTGTGCGGGCTCCGCAGCTTCGCTCTTCTCTCCTTCCCCCCCTCTACCCTTCCTTCTCCTGCTCCGAATCCCCTTCTTTCTATGCCTTTCCCCCGTTTTCCTCTCCTCCCCAAAGCCGAATGCTTTCGCTCCCCTTTCGGCTTCCCCTCCCGTGCCCCCTTCTACCCTTCCTTCCTTCTGCTCATATTCCCCTTATTTCTCTTCCTAACTTTCCTTCTCGTCCCATTCCGGCCTCCCCTCCCGTCCCACCCTCTACCGTTCCTTTCTTCCTTCCTTCCTTCTGTCCATATTTCTGGTTTTTCTCCCCTAAACCCACTCCTCCTCTTCCCCCAAACGTGACCCCCCCCCCGACTGTCCCTGCCCCGCTCCTCCGTTCTATTCCCCCTCTTTCCCTCCTCTGTCCACCGTTCCTCTTCCTCCCCTGCCGGCCTTTCCCTTCCCCGCCCGCTTTCCTCCGCAGCCCGACTTCCCTCCTCAACCTTTCGCATGCCCCGCTCTCCCTCCTCTCTTCCCGTCCCCTTTTCCTCCTTTACTCGCAGCCGCGGGGCTCGGGGTGCCGGAGAATAAAGCCCAGAGGGCCGGAGCCCGGCGCCCCCCGCCCTCGCTGGGGTCCCCACACGGGGCAGGAGCCGCTCTGCGGGTCCCCCCATTGCAGTGCAACACACGGGCCGACACTGCCGGGGCTCCGGCTTTCCCGACATCACACTGGGGGGTCGGGCTGGGGGGCAGGGAGGGTCCTAGGGGGGTTAGGAAGGGCCCCCTCCGGAGGAGGGGGTCCCGGGGGGGGGGGGTCGGGGGGCCCCCTCCGGAGGGGGGGGTCCGGGGGAGGGGGGCGGGGCGGACGGGGTTCTTCCCCCCTCCAGCCCCGCCCCCTCCCCGGGACCCCCTCCTCCGGACCGGGGGGAGGGGGGCACGTCACTCTGCGGCGTGAACAGACAAAAAAAAAAAAACGATGGGCAGCCCTCCCGTCCTGGCCCCACCCCCCTCCCTGCCCCCCCCCCCCCGGGCCCCGGTCCGGAGGAGGGGGTCCCGGGGAGGGGGCGGGGCTGGAGGGGGGGAAGGCCCCCCTCCGCCCGCCCCCCCCCCCCGGACCCCCCCCCCCCCTCCGGAGGGGGCCCCCCCGACCCCCCCCCGGGACCCCCTCCTCCGGAGGGGGCCCTTCCTAACCCCCCCCCCCCAACCCCCCAGGACCCTCCCTGCCCCCCAGCCCGACCCCCCAGTGTGATGTCGGGAAAGCCGGAGCCCCGGCAGTGTCGGCCCGTGTGTTGCACTGCAATGGGGGGACCCGCAGAGCGGCTCCTGCCCCGTGTGGGGACCCCAGCGAGGGCGGGGGGCGCCGGGCTCCGGCCCTCTGGGCTTTATTCTCCGGCACCCCGAGCCCCGCGGCTGCGAGGAAAGAAGGAGAACGGGGAATGGGGAACGAGAACAGGGGAGCAGAGCGGCAGTCGAGGGGAAGGGGACAAGGACAGGGGGCAGGTGGGGAGAGGTCGGGGTGTGCAGGGCAGTCGGGGAGGGGGCTGGGGGGAAGGCAGGGTGGAGAAAGGAAAAGAAGGATTGAAGGCGGGTTTGGGGAAGGAGGCAGAAGGTGTGGAGGGGGGAAGGTGTCATGGAAAGGCGGCAGAAGGAACCCGAGGTGGGGGGGGGGGGAAAGGGGAGCAGGGAGAGGGGGCACGGGGGAGCCCGGCTGGGGAGGGAAGGAAAAGGGACAGGATGGAGGAACAGGGTAGGGGTGAGTAGAGGAATAAAGAAGAAGGATAGGGAAAGGGGTGGAGGGGGGACCGCCCGGGGGGGAGGGAGGGGAGGGCTAGGGGGGAGAGGGAGGGGGGGGTTTGGGGGGGGGAGGGTGTAGGGGGTGGGGGAGGGGAGGAAAGGAGGGTAGATAGAAGGGGTATAGAGAAAAAGAAATACAAAAGAAAAGAAACGCAGAAGAAAAGTAATGGAAAAAGAGATAAAGGGGCCCGGCCGGCCGCAACCTCCCGCTCCGAGCGCCGAGCAGCAAATGGCTCTGCCCGGGCCTCCCCGCGGCTTAAATCCCCCCGGCCCCGCCCCGCGCAGGCGCGCTGGGGCCCCGCGCACCTGTGCGCGCACCTGTGCTGGCCCCGCCCCCCGCCCGTAAATGGCGGCGGATCCGCACCCGCCTCACGTTCTGCGGGGGATGCTCGGCCCGGGCTGCGGCGGGAGCGGCGCTCGGAGATCGGTTCGGGGCTGCTCCCGGCGTTGCGCGGCGTCCGACGGGCTCAGGTGGGACCGGGACTGGGATCTGGGCCCGGGGATTTGGGTCCCGGTCCCGCCGGTGTCTGCTGTAGGAGCCGGGCAGAGCCGCTCCTTCCTCGGCGGGCAGGGTGGGAGTGCCGGGGCCGGAGGATCGGGGCGGGATCGGGGCTGGGATCGGGACCGGTATCGCCGCGGGCGGGAGGAGCCGCTCCGCCGGGGCCGCCGCTCCCGCTCCGGCTGCGCCCGGTGCGGGGCTGGAGGAGCCCGGAGCCCCCGAAGGGCAGAGAGCACCTCCGGTCCTTGGCTCGGCAGGGCAGGAGCTGCCGTGCCCTGCCCGTGGCTCGCAGCGTGCCCAACGCACGGCCCGGCACGGGCACCGGGGCACCGGACAGCGCTGGCACGGACACGGCTGAAGGGCTGCCCGTGGCTCCTCGGCCCGGGGCTGCTCCCCACAGGCACGCAGGGATGCTTCAGCCCGGACAGGCACCACCGACAGCCCAAAGGGACCCCAGGGAACGGCTGGCATCACCTGGGAATGGAGGCACAGCCGTTTGCAGAGGGGCTCTGACAGCAATCCCTGTTTCTGACCTCCCCGAGCTCCCACACAGCTGCCAGGTATGTCCCAGCCACCCCAAATCTCCTCCCTCTTTTCCAGCCTGAGGCCATCATCCACCAGCAGCGTTTGAGCCAAGGCAATCTTCCCTCACAGGTACTAAATCCCAAGTAATAGCCTCGGAGATGCCTTAAAATCAGAGGTTCGAGTGGGATGATGTCTGGAGATTTCCAGGGAGCCGGCTGGAGGTGCAGAATTGATGGAAAACTTTCACAGGTGGGTCCCACTGGAGGTGTGCTGCAGGCAGGGATGTGCATCCCTTTCCTGAGGGAAAAGGCCATGCAGAGGCCGCTGCTGAGGCTCTGAAAGGAGCAGAGCTTCTGCAGGAGAGATGTTCTGCCTCAGCACAGGCTGGGAGCGCATCCAGCCACCACCCTGTCCTGCTTTAAAACATCAGCTGGAGCCTGAGCTCCAGGGGGTGAAATCAACTGAATTCCAGGGAACTCTGTCAAGTGACCCCAGAGACATCCCTGGGGCTGGGGGATGAGGGTTTTAAATAGCAAGTTCTGTACAACAGAGACCTGTTCTTGTCCCACTGAGCTTCCCTGGAACCTCTGCTGGTTCCTGACACAGCTGGTGCTAAAGTGGCAGCTCTGCATGGGAATTTTCACTCTCCACGAGGCACTGTCAGGTTATTCCAGAAGGAATTCAGCAGGGAACCTGAGGCTGTGGGTATAATTCATCTGAACTAGCAAAGCTGATACTGAACCCCAAATCCTGGCACCATGCAGAGAACAATCTTTGTGCTAAATCCCCTGGGTGGGGAAGTTTCAGCAGCCAAATGTATGGAATGATCGAAATCCCAGCAGCCGGCATCCCCCAGAGGGACAATCCAAGTGCCAGGGTGGGAGCTCGTGTCCTTCCCCTGCTGCTGGTGGGGCAAATTCCCCTCGGCACAGCTGGCTGGGTGGGAGCTGAGATCAGGAGGGATAGGAGCACAGATGGGAGATGAGGCAGCTGGAATGTCACCTGGAGCAGCTGAACACGTTCTGTCCCTGTAGGAGCCAAAGCAGATCCCTCCTGGCTGGGCTGGATGGGAGATGAGGCCGCTGGAATGTCACCTGGATTAGCTGAACACGTTCTGTCCCTGTAGGAACCAGGAGCCAAAGCAGATCCCTCCTGGCTGGGCTGGATGGGAGATGAGGCCACTGGAATGTCACCTGGATCAGCTGAACACGTTCTGTCCCTGCAGCAGCCAGGAGCCAAAGCAGATCCCTCCTGGCCGGGCTGGAGGGCAGCTGCTGGATCTGCTCTGGGGGAAAACTCCCTGCCCCTGCCAGGAGAGCTTTCTCTGCTTTTCCTCCAGCTCCTGAGCAGTGTCAGGGCCACTGGGAGGGAGTTCAAACCCAAAAAGTCCCCACAGCCCCCAGAGTGAATGATCCCAGCAGAGAAACGCAGCATTGAAATAAAAAACTTAAGAGCTCTGTCAAAAAGGCTATGACAATAATGTAATGGGATTCCTAGGAACCTTCTGGTTTGCTCTCAGAATGCTCTTGGTTCTCTTTCATGTATTTTTAGTCCCTCAATGGGCAGCTTGTAGAATTTATTCTGGGACTTATAGGTTGAGCAGGGTGGGCTCTGGATTGACCTTCACCTCTGGTGCCACTTTGTGCGAACACAACTTGGCCAGGCTGGGTGAACTCATGGCCTCAGCTTTCCCCTCCAAGATGTCCCTCACTTATTTCCCTGCGGGTGAGCTGGGATTTGGCCCCAGACTGTCACTCCTCACCTCCCCGTGCCCGCACAGTGTCCGTTCCATTCCCCACAGAGCCCTGGGGACACCAGGGGGTCCCTTTGCCTTCTCCCGCCCCTTTCCTGCCCGAGGCTCCTCTGCCCTTGTCCCACACAGCACAGGGGCACAAAAGGGGAAAGGCTCCAGAAAACATTTCTGCAATTAACCAGCAATTATTTCAATTCCCCAGTGAGAAGAACATGAACTCACAGCCACCGAGGCCTGACAGGCTCCTGCAGTGAGAGCTCAGTGTGTGTGTGCAGAGGTGAGTGCAGCATCTGAAAGGAAAAAAACACAGGGGAAAAATGTGATTTATTTTGCTTCAAAGTTATTTCAAGTTCTTAAAGCCCAACCAACTTTTGTTCTTGATTTTGGTCGGGTGAAACAGGAGCAGTGGGCAGAGGTCATGCCATTGATGCAGACGTGCCTGATGCTTGCTGGGGCAGAAAAAGTAGATCAAGCTCACCTTATGTCAAGCAGTTATTAAAAAAGATTTATCGCTCTTTAAACATAGCACTCTTTAATTACCATAATGTTTCTCACATGATTTTAACTAATTCTCAGTGTATTTTATAAAACTTAAAATAACACCTCCTCCCCATAAAACAGACTCATCAAGCATTAGACAAAAGTCCTACTGCCAGTCTCATGCTTGCACATCTAACAGGAGACCCTCCCCATAACCAAACAAAAAATCAAAATAATGTACCAAAAGTAGTCCTTACTAACATTAAAAATACAACTCACCTGTATCCAAAAAACCTCACCTTTATTTCCTCCAAACACTCTTCAAATTCTAAACCAAAAACTCTTAAAAAAACAACAAAAACCATCAAAACATACTTCAAATATAGAAAAGCCTAACCATATAAATATTTGTCAAAGTTCACAAAAAATATAAAACAATCTAATCAATATCCTGCATTAAAAAAACCCCACTAAACAAATTAGTACCATTTGAAATGTAAAATAAATAAAAATCTTTTCCTAAGAAAAATATCTCCCAAGAAGTAAAACCACCCTGTAAAGATATAAGCAATAATTATTACTCAACAAGCTAAAAATTCTTCAAAACCAAAAGACTTAAAAAACCTTCAATATTTATAAATAATAACATTCAATATGTTAAGTGTTAATAAAATCAAACAAAATTAAATGTCAATACATTTAAATAAATACATTAAGTTTCTTTTTATTTATTAAAATTAAGTTTATTATTCCTTACTATCAAAATTCATTCAGTCTAAATTTAAATGTTATTTAATATAACTTATCCTAAATTTTATTAAAAATAATTTCTCTAAACTATACAGTATATGGTTAATTTTCTTAAAAAAATAAAACAACTCCAATTAAAACAACTAAAAGAAAACACTAACAAAGACCTATTCAGAAGTAAAAAAAATAGTGTAGCATATCATCAATTTCATCAAAAATTCTGTTCTTCATTACAATTTCTACTATTTTTATCTTTTATAAGTAACACCAAAAAATAGCAATTACTATTCATATCATACAATTGAAAAATTTTACTCTATTTCCTTAATATAGAAATATTTTTTAAAAGTTATCCTAACTTCTTCAAACACTTACTACTAATATACTAATTATATAATATAAATATATTAATTTTTATAATAAACAACCTTTATTAAATATTATAATATTTACAACCAACTTTCATATATTTTATTATCTCTTTATATAATGATCTAAAAACCACATAAAATTTCTAATTCCTACTTTTTTATTCTAAACTTATACAGCTCTTAAACCAAGTTAACTCTCTAACTAATCTCTACACTAACTATAATTTAACCTTATGTTATCTCATAATTTTAAATATTTTTCAAGATTAAAAAGGTATTTAATTAAAAACCTCCTCCAAGCTGTTAATCTTATCACTTTCCTCAGTTATTATTACAAAATCACTTGAATACAAAATCCAACTACAACATTAATTTCTTTTTCTAAGTTTCACACTAAGTAATGACTCTCTCATACATTTCCTCCACCTTCACACTCTCAATATCCAAATCCAAACTCACAATCCTGTCCATAACCACTTTCAAATCTTTAAAAAAAAGTTTACTATATTCAAAGCATCTCTATTCTAAAAAACTTCTAAAAAAATCCAATTATTAAATAATGTAATTAATCTTTAATCCTAACATTTTTACTCTTAACTACTATTTTTAAAAACATTATATAAAAATATATTAAGTAACATTCACCAATTAAAATGTAAACTATAACCTAACCCTAACTCTACCTAAATAAAATAATTAACAACAAACCCAAATATTTTCTATGTCAAAAATAAATTCAAATAATTTTAACTTAACAATTTAACTTTAACAATATAACAAATAAACTTATTTTTAAAATAAACTTAAAAATCATTATCCACACATAATTATTTAACTTACCAGTAATTATCATTTATCATCTGTTATAAACTCTAAAAGAATGTACAATCTTTTAATTACTAATTATATAATTTCACCTATGTTACTAATTATAGATATTATCTAAGTAATTCCTAATTATTATCATTTTCTTCTTTACTACATGCATTATTTTACTCTTATATTTCTTCATACTTATAACTGAAAAATTATAACAACTTATTATTTCTCATATCAAAACATAAAGTTTACTTATATCTCAACAAGTACAAAACCCCAAGTAAATTTCAATGAGAAACATAAAACCAGATCACACAAAAAACACACTCACCACTCCACAAATAAAACACCAACGTAAATACAAAGACAAATTACACTATGTAAATACAAACGCAGATTACACAAGAATTGCAACTTACACCTAACATCTTGTACTACACCCACCAAAATATAGAAACTTGAAGTTTCTTTATAAATATAAAAATCAATATTATAAAAATCTTATTTAATAACTTACAAATTATAAAATTCTATCAAATATTATACCTCTACTCTATTTACTTTATTTACTTTTAATTATATCACTTTACCAATTAACCAACCTAAACCAAACATTTAAGTAACTTCAACTAAAGTTTCAAGTTTAAATACTTTGTATTTATCTAGCACTACTCAAAAAAATCCATTCTTTACTTATTTAATATACCAATAAAAAACATTACAAATAATCCATATAATTAAAAAGCCCTTACATTATTAACTCTTATTATAAAAATAGTTACCAATTTAAAACAAAAAAGTCATTTATCCATCAATAGTAATCAAAATATAAAAGTAATTTTAAGCCTGGAAACTTAAAATAAAATGGTAGCATCACTTTTTATACTACCTATTACTTCAACAACACTAAAACAATTAAATCAATTAAAATATTATCTAAATAAACAATTTAATTAAACATCCCTTACATTAAATAACTTTTTAACAAATATAAAAATATTAAATACGCAGTTTTACAACAAACCAACAATAAATTTTCTTTTATTAACATACAAACATAGATATAAAAATATTGTATTACATATATAAACATATATTACATACATATATAAACACAAAATATGTTTGTATTATCATACAAACATAAATATAAAAATTTAATAAAATGTATGAATTTATCTAATCACACAAAATCTACTTATAAAAGTGTACAACTTTAAGAAATATCAAAAATAAGAATAATAAAACACAACAATAAATAAAATTTAACGCCATAATTAAAAGATCTTATAACAAAATTATACATTTTTATATAATAATAATAATAATAATAATAATAATATTGAGAACACCTTCTTTATGTTAATATATGCAACAAATGCTTAACAAATCTATTAATAAATTTTTTTTTCATACAGAGAGAGGGGGAAGACCTGGGAATGGGAAAACCAGAAACTCCCACAGACACTGAAAGATTTGATCTGCAGCCTCGGGAGAAGCTGGGATTGATGTACCAATACAAGACACGGGCATTACGCAGGAAAAGAATAAAATAAAATAAAATAAAATAACTTCTGTTTCTGTGGCTGTCAGTAAGAGCCTGCCCCGAGTGAGTGAGAGAGAAACTGTGTGGGCACGATGGGGAAGGGTTTGCAGGGCAGGGCTGGGGCTGTGTGCGCTACACTGAGAGCTGACAAGTTCCAACAGAAGGCATTGAACAAAAGTACCCTCAGTGCGGCAGAACTGAGCAGAGGTGCTGGGTTCGAAAAGCCAAATAAACCCCGGGGTTAGAAAGTTCTGGCCTGCCTTGGAACAAAGAACTTGTGGCCGCTCCTGAGCCGCAGCAGCTGCTCGCTCTGCAAACCCTCACGCTCCCAGGCGGGTGTTTACCTGAGCACTGAGTGCTCCCGGCCCAAGAGCAGTCCCATCCCTTCCTTGCTAACAGCACAGGGATAAAGGAATAAAAAAGATCACTCTGGCCAGCAGGGCTCTCTCTCTCTGCGTGGGTTAGGGGCAGGGCCCTGCAGGGAGCAGGGCGCTCCAGCACCGACAGCCCAAATCCAGAGCAGATCCACGGGGGAGCAGCGGGCTGGGGACAGCTGGGGACAGCAATGAGCAGAGCCCATCAGCCTCCCTCTGGGGCTGGGACTGCATTTAGCACACAGCTCATACCAGCTGTGGGACTCACAGACCTCAGACTCCTTACCACAAACGAGTTCTGATCTAGCTCTCAGGGTGACCTGCACCTCCTCCCCAAAAAACACAGGAATTAGAATTTCCTGCTGGTTTTACAAACTTCACGGCAGCTTAGCAAATGCAAATCCCAGCAGGTCCCTGCTTTCCAGAGCACCCATCCTCAGCCATCTCCACTTCCCTGGAAAACCTGCTCCAGCCCTGGGCTGTACCAAGGTGAGTACAAGTCTGGAGAGATCAGAACCCTCACCTGGACTGCTGCACTCGGAGTGAGATCCAGCTACAAATGGAATTCCAGAAACGGCCTCCAAAATGTTCCATAATCACACCTTTAAAATGGCTCCACAGGGCAACAGCTCCAGTGCCAGAGCAGCACCTTCATGAGTCCTTGTGCCAGCCCTGGCTCCCTGAAAAACACAATAAACCAACATCACACAGGCCTTGTTTGCAGAATTCCTGATCCAAACCCTCACCTTTCCTGCCCAGCATTGAGGGAAATCTGACACGGTATTCACAGGTAACCTTTGCTGAGAGCAGCCATCACCCCAGTCCTCCAGCCTGGGCAAGGTTTTGCAGTGAATGGACCCAACTTCTAACCCTGAACCTAAATTTCTGTCAGCTTTTGTTAGAAAGAGACTGGAGATTCAATCCTACAACAGATTTAAAACATTGCACAAGGAATAACCGGCCCAGACAAAACCAAACCACCCCATCTCTGCTCCACCCCATTTCTCCCAGTTTTGGGAGAAATACTGATATAATTTGCAAATACTCCCCTTCCCTGCTGCACTGTCCTTCACTGCACATCTCTGGAGAGGATTTACTCCATTTTCTGTGCTCAGCAGCACCTCTGCAGCCCAAATCCCACTCCTCGCAGACACAGCCTGAGCAGAGCTCAGGCAGTGTTCCCAGCAGCGGATGCAATTCCGAGTTCCCTGGATTGCTCACGGGGCACTCGCAGCAATCTCCCCTCAGCCCAGACTCTCTGTGCTCAGAGGGAAGCGCAGCCCGATGGGACACAGCTCTGGCACCACATTCCCCTTGTTCCTGCTGGCCTGGAAAGCCACAGATAAACCCAGTCCCTCCGACCTTGCACCCTGAACCCCAGGAGAGCCGGAGCTGAACCCAGATCCCGGCGCCCTGCACGGCTGCGCTGACACCAGCACAGGCTGAGCACTGCCCAGCACTGTTCCTCATTTTCCTCCCTCTGCTCCCAAATCCTGCCAGCCCTCCCCTGCAGTTCCTGCCCCAGCCCCAGCAGAGGCTGGCACCCAGCCCTGCAGCAGCTGGCAGAGCTGGGAATGCACCGAGAGCTCGGCTCCCCGGGCTCCCAGCCCCAGACCAGTCCTTGGGTGCCCGAACAATGCCCAGCCTGCCCCCCTGGGCACAGCCAAACACCACAACTCCGTCAGCCCCAAGGAACTCTGGCATTTGCCTCTTCCCTGCTGCCCTTTCCCAGCACACAGGGGTAGGGCTGGGCTGTCAGAAATGGCATTCCCGAGGCACTTAATCCCAGCAGAGAGGAAAAAGGGAACCCTGCGTCCCTCTGACTTACCCCACAGCGTGGGCAGGACCAGGAGCCCTCCAGCGCACACCCCTGGTGCTGAAGCCTCTTGGCTCTGGCTGCTTAATCACTGATGCTTCTGGCAAAGATGGGAGGAGCTCAATGATTTCTCCTGTCCTGAAAGAGAGGAGGAAAAGAACATTAAGCCCACTGTGGAAGTCAAAAGATCCCGGCTTTCACACTTTTGCTGTGATTGCTCACTATGGGGTTTTATCCATGAGAGGGGACACCAATTCAAATATAAAAGTATTTTTATTCCTAACTATTTCATTAAAAGGAAGCTCATTTTTCGATTGCATTCTTAGCCTAATTTTAACAGAACCATTTTTATCCCAGGCCCCACTTGTCAGTCATTCAATCCGTTACCACGGGACTTTATACAAAGGAAGGGATACCTGGTGCTGTGTCACAAGAAATCCCAGAGAGAAACGTGTCCAAAACCTCACAGAGAAAGGTTTCAAGGCACTCCAGTGCACAGACAGCTGCTCATGCCTTGTCAGGCCACACCAGTTCTGTCACATCCACCTGAGCTGTGCAGGCGAGGCAAAGGCTGCCCTTCCTCCCATGGAACACTGTCTGAGACCACAGAGAGCCATCCTGGGTGAAAGGAATGAAATTAAAATGTTTTCTGGCAGAAAATGAGTGTCTGTAATCAGAACTTCTGGACAGATTTAGTAACACCACTTTCAGATGATAAATACAGGCCATGCCCATCCTTCCAGGCCAGGTGAAACCAGGAAGGAGAACTACAGGAAAAGCAGGAAGACAGAGCCCCGTATTTGGATATATATAGAATGCCCCTGGTTTGGTGGTTTGCCTTTGCTCCTAAGCTTTGGCTTCAGCCCCTCTCCAGAGGAGCAGGGAATTCCTCCAGGGTGAGGGGGAGTCTGGTCCTACTCCAGGATGGGTCCAGTAAAGGAGGGAAGTTGTTTAGAGTAAGTGACCAGTGTTTTTGTTACACACAAAAATCAAACCAAACAAACACTGAATTGGACTACACTGAGCTGCAACACAAAGTGTTCACAGCAGGCAGAGGCCAGAAGAGCACACAGCACCCATAAGTACCATTTCATTTGGTTCTTCTGCTCACATGCATTTTAATTCTGCTTCGCTTCACAGCTGCTACTCTGCCAAGGCCATTTCCATTTTCAGAAGCCTGTGTCACGTGTAACCGAGGCTGGACATCCTCACTTGGGATTTCCATGTCACACCTGGATTTACCAGGAAGCACGTGCACACACATATGCCCATTTTGGTGATATGTCAGCCAGAACTCATGCAACCCAGCAACTTGCTCCTCACTGCACCACTTAGAAATACATTAAAAAGCCAGAAAAAAAAAAAAAAAACCAAAAAAAAAAAAAAAAACCAAAAAAAAAAAACCAAGCAAGAACCCACAAAAGAGAGAGCTTAGTGCAGCACCATCTTAATGTTATGCTCAGTGGTGGAGAGAAAGAAGGAGGAAAGCTGTTCTTCCAGCACTCCCAGTTCTGGACCAAGAAACAGCCAATATTGCCCTCACCTGCAGCTTCCCTCCTTGCTTCAGCCGTGCCCTGACTGCTGAGGGACCAGAGGCACCGCACAACCCAAAACTGCCAGCACCCACACCCACCACTGGTACGGACATCTTCATGTTCCACCTTTGGCCAAACAAACCCCAGGATGGTTCTGCTTTCCTGACAGACTTGGCAAATTTCATTGGCACTTACCAAGGCAACAGACGCCCTGTGTGGCTCCGGGGTCAGATCCCCTTTGGCACAAAAACCCGAGGGAAGATGGAGGGAAGGCTCCAGCAGCAAACTGAAATCCCAGACAGGCAGTGAAGGCTGCTTCTGGCAGGCTCCTTCTGGCTTTTGGGGCACAGGAACGGCTTTGAGACCATTTGCATCAATGTGAAAAGCCCACAATGAGCATTTGGTTTTAAAGATAATGCACTTAATATACAGACACAGAATTGCTCTGGGATTTGGCATTTCCTGCACCCACACAAACACATTAAAAGAATTAAGTGCAGAGTCCTGAAGTTCAGTTATTCCAATTCTGTTTTGGTAGGGTCACTTGACATACCAAAACCCACAGCAACACTTGAAAAATGAAAAGCAACTTCCCCCCCACCCACAAACTTTCAGTTTTCCAGTTTAGGGGTCCTCTTAAGAGCAGGTTAAAGAAAACAACAAGAAAAGCCCAAGACTTATCCACCTAGTGTACCAACCACCTGCTCTCCACAGATTTTCATTACCTCGATGGCTTTTCTAAGAAAATAAATTTGTAGGTGTAAAAACCCATCCAGTAGGCAGATGTTTCTGAGCCCACACCTCACAGGTAAAAGATCAGAGGAGGAGTGGCACAGAGGGATCCAAAAGTGCCCAAGAGAGGTTCGAGCTGATGTATTTGGGCAGGATTATTTGAACCCAAAGTGCTCTGCAGCTGCCCCAAGCCTGGAGTTGGCAGAAACAAAATGAGCTCCCCCTCCTGCCTCATTTTCTGCCCTCTCTGCTCAAGGGAGAATCACACCATGCAAATGATGGCAGAGAAATGGTGAGACCTGTCCAGTGCCCCCAGGAGGGCTGGCACCAGGGCTCATTCCCTCCTCTGGCTGATGGAACTTAAACCCAGCTGTTCTGGGATTTAGGGAGCAAAACCCAGCTTTGCCACTTGCTGTTCCACTCCCTGCCACATCTGCACAGCAGGAATAATGCTGTGTTCTGTGTCACACCCAAAGCAGCAGCCCTGGGAGTGCTGCTGGAACCCAGACACCTTCCCCTTCTCAGACACCAAGCTGACTAGTCAGCCCCACACTCCTCCAAGGTC